GAATTGCTAAAAACATACATAAAATAACAGTAGCTCCATTTCTCTTTTGAATGTGTAGGGCTTTAGTTTTATAACCTAGAAGTTATACTAGGAATTCCAGGAGGAATTGTCCACCTCGGCCCTTTATTGGATGAGAAGGTACAAATTCTCATTAAGAAACCCGTAAACTAAGAAGCTGGCAACCTTGGTATTTGGCAGCAGAGTGCTAGTTAGGTTTTGATGTTCTGGGAATTTGTGTTTGGCCTGTAGCTTTTAATTATTTTTATGAACTAGGAAATAATGAATACATTTGTAATATATTAAAAAAATCCCCAACACTGACTGACCAAAAAGTAGATTTATATGATAATTCTTAAACACCAATTCTAATACTCAATGCTAGGCAGAATGAAAATAGAATACTGAACTTTATTACTGAGAGAGAGAGCAGAGTATAATCAAGGCTGATGGAAATAATACTGTTTAATTACCAGCAATACACCTCGGCTAGAGAGTGCATATTCATCACTGATCACAATATTTTAGACTTTAGTTGTCCTACAGGAATATAGCACAGAGCACAATGCATGATAAGCCTTAAAGAATGACATTTTTTAAAAAAGTTGACATAGACATTTTATGGTGGCCTTTAAAAATACGGGTTATGGTGATGCCAAGGGAAAATAAATCTTATTCACTGAGGCACTAGGCGAGATGGGGAGGTGGGGTCGCAGTGCCAGGTTAGGGTCATGGGGAAGAGAGTAGACAGAACCTGTTGTCCCAGGCTTTGCCGATGTCTGAACGTGTTACCTGACTGATGACTAGCTTAGGTGATCACATCTGAGTGGCTGTTGGTATCTGGTATCAGGCAAGTATAGTGTCATCATTATTTAGAGGGTGGGCTCTGGAGCCACTTTCACTTGGATTTAAATCCTGGCTCTGATATTTCCCAGCCAAGTGACACGACATAACTTAGTGAAGTTCTCTGTGCCTCAGTTTCCCCATCTATAAAATGGGATACCCTTCCTCACAGGCTGTTGGGAGAGTTAAATAAACAAGCTGATAGATACAACATGTTAAGAGAAGTTTCTGAAGCATGGTAAAGGCACAGTTGGCCTGAGCCATTATTTTTAACTCTCAAATTTGTCCACACTGAGCTTCCAGAGATTCACCAATTATAACTTAAGGTTTTTCTGTCCTGGAACTACCTCTGGTTCCCACAGTTTGTTTGTGAGTTTCTGCTCTGGTAAGCTGGGATTCACTGTTATGCCTTTCTGTTGCTGCCATTTCTATGCCAGTGGTTTTTCCTATGACCTCAGCTCTCTGACGGATCTAAAAAGAGATGTTAATTTTCAGTTTGTTTGGCTCTTTTGCTTGTTGTTAAGATGGGAGAGACAACTTCCAAGTTCCTTAAGCACTAGACCAGACACTGGAAGATGCCATTATTTTTATCATTGGAGTTGAAAGTGTCCAGGAGGTGAGTCAGCACATATCAGTTAAACTCAACTGTACAATATTTTGTAGAGATACAATACCACACAGATGAGATGTTTCTTCTCCAAAGAGGCTCATGAACTGGTTGGGAAACTAGGATAGAGACTGAAATGATAGCAAATGATGTTGGGTGAATTTCTAGAGAATAAGTTGTACAGTTATGTGCCACATAACAATGTTTCAGTCAATGATGGACCACATATATGATGGTGGTCCCATAAGATTACAATGGCACTAAAAATACCTATTGCCTAGCAACATCGTAGCACAACACGTTACTTACATGTTTGTGATGATGCTGGTGTTAACTAGACCTACTGTGCTACCAGTAATTTAGAAGTTTAGCACATAGAGTGATGTATAGTGCATGAATATACTTGATAATGATAAAATGGTTATTTTACTGCTTCATGTACTTATTATACTACACTTTTTACCACTTCTTTAGATTGTGCCCTTTCTATTTATATAGAAAGACTTAACTGTGTCACAGCCTCAAGCAGGTCCTTCAGGAGGGATTCCAGAAGAAGGCATTGTTATCACAGGAGATGACAGCTCCATGTGTGTTATTGCCCTGAAGACCCTCCAGTGGGACAAGATGTGGAGGTGGGAGACAGTGATATTGAAGATCCTGATCCTGGGTAGGTCTAGGATAG